CAGAGACAATTAATAATCAGCGCAAAAACATTCATTGTGCTGAAATATCTGTTGTAGAAAGTTAAATTAAGGCTTGAAGGTCAACATGCATTGCGTAGGCCTGTCGCAATAATCAATATATCGACTTATCACGCAATATGGATCTGTGCCTTTGTGCATACGGACATCTGACTGCTAAGTAGTGATTGTGTTTTTCAGCAATAGTGTGCACCCTTAATTTACAGAGAAAAGAAGGTCCGGGAAAAATCTGTAGATGGAAAAATCTCCATACAAGTTCTATGTGCATTTTTCTTTTTTTCTACTTGTTACTTTGCACTTTTTTGTAGAAAATGTTTATTTACTATTTATTCAGGTTTTTTAAGGTATCTATGGTCTAAATATTCTTAAAAATTTAAAGTTTGTTGTTATTTGGAAGTGTGTAGGCCTTCTTGAATTATTATGCTGTTACATTATGATTATATATTCAGAGGCATAAAATGGTCTTTAAAATGACAATAATATCGCTTATCGAAATTATTTCTGGGGCAATATATCGCACAACAAAAAGTTGTTATCGTGACAGGCCTAGCATTGCGAGTATTTTATGAGAGGAGGAACTGTAAGGGGATAACTGCGTGTAATTGTCTGAATATAAACATCAGACGCTTCATAACCGCCTTTTACAGGATAAAGAAATGACAGTAAGACGTGACTGTGATCAAAGTGAACGTGTTCCTGCAGAACATTACTCTTACCTATTGGTTACAACTGAGTTTGTGATTTTATTCGTCTTTATCATCTTTATTATTATTTTAATTTTTAATGCAGAGATTTAAACTATAGCCTATTCACTATATACAATGCTTAACAAATTTATGTAAGGTTTTTAACAAATTATGGTTTGTGCCACTGCTGCTCTAAACTAACAGTACTGGTGATTACCAAAATAATTTTTTAGCTTTTTGTATTGGTTAGTCCTCCAAAATGTGTAAGCTCTTTAGTAACAGTAGTAGTACTATTTCTAATGCTATAATATAATTATTGCTGTTATCTATGAAAGAAAAGCAGAGAGCTTTATAGTGTTTTTTTTTTCCCAGATACCCAATTACAGTCAAAAAATACATAAACAATGCCAGCAAAAATGCAAGCTGTTATGAAGGGCATAGGAGGCCATTTTTGT